GCAATAATCAATCCTAAATAACAAAAAGACTTATGGACTGACCCAGGGAATACAAATAGACTGATACCTAATGAATGGAATCAGGATTGAAGACTGATTTCTGCCATACTAAACATTCTTGACAATTAATTACTTTTCAGTGCAGTGAGTGTTCGAGAACAATTTCCTGAGGGAGTGTTTTGAAAAAAAACTCAAGGTGAATCAGGCTGAAGTGCTTATCTCTTACTGTCATTCCATCCTACTTTCTCACTCTTGGGTCCCATTCTCTTATAATGCCCTTTATCTCCAATGCTCCTGCAATTCCAAAACTTGGAGTATTTGATGATGTTTATTAATTCTCAATCCTGTAAAGGACCAGATGTTTACTCAATGCATTTGTCTAAAGAAATTAATCAACATGGTAGCAATTGTTTTCTGTTGTTCTTGTATAGACATCAAACTTTATATATAATTTAAGACACAGCTGGTGTTGTCAAATGATTACACAGCTTATTGTGTTTAGAGATATAGAATGCATCAAGGATATTAAGAGTGATTGGAATATCTCCAAGTGCTGTGTCTCATCAGAACCATGGAAAAGCTTTGTCTCTAATTGTGTAAATCAGTGTCATGCAATAAAATCTAGTGACTACCTCCAGACGTAGTGATGATGACACTGTTTTAGGCCTATGTGCTAATATTATTAGGAAACCTGTTGCACACAATGTCAAAAAAAGTGCTTCATATGTGTATACTTATCAAAAAAATTTCTACTACCACTCAAGTTACTATGGGGTATAGCACCAAAAGACAGTCAGAATTTCTGTTTTACATCTTAGTGTTTTACCAACAAGCACAAAAGATTAAAGTTCACATGAATATACATTGCAAATTACAAGCAACCATGTTTTCTTTTCTCGACTATGGGTTGTAAATTAGAAAAATGGACACTGCCTTAAAATCAAGAAAAAAGACAAGGTGCAGTTTATAGCTTTGGGAAAATAAGTGAATCTAATTGGTGCAAATAAAACAATATTAATTTTTGGGGTCATTAAACCCTGACAAAGTTGTTATGGGTTCAGGAGAGTTCAGCATGGCAACAAGTCCATGATTGGTTAGGTTACAGTTTAACACAGACTCTATGAGGAGAGTGAACCAAACAGAGAGAAGCAAGAAGATCACCTAAGTTCGCTGCATCAATCTTTTCTCTACCTTCTTTCTCTGTAAAGTTGTCATTTCTAATTTGCTGTTGAAAGAGCAGAAAACGACAGTCAGAGATGCTGAAGAAATAAACCTAAAGGAGAAAGAAAGACCGCGAATCCAACCAAGTAACCAGTGAACTACAAACTGATCATCACCACAGATAAGATCAAAGCATCATCAAAGAATTGAGGATTGTGAAAGCAACCCATCTCGTTTTGTGATTTGGACTGGTGACACTGTTTTTCTGACCAGGCAATTTAACTATTCTTTATATGCGCAGTTTGTACAACGTGTATTGTCCTGCTATCTGGTGCTGGACCAACCTGTAATATTTGTCTTTGAACCTCACGGACCGACAGGTATTCAATCTACATATTGACAGTTTGTACTGATAATAAATGTGAACACTTTATTTTACTTACTTCCAATCCTTCTCCCCTCACTCCCCTACTGAAGATTCTGTTTCTTTTTGGGATGCAATTCTTCTGGAATTAACTATGTTGATGTATTTCATGCAGTGAACTAATTAGTTTTGTGAGTCCAGAAGGTGGGATCTGCTGAAACAAGAAAAAAAGACCTGCTTTTATGTTACATACGCTGTTCGTCTTAGGACATTTCAATGCATTTTATAGATGATTAAGTACATTTTTTTGAATTTCTTTAATTTGGAAGCACATTAGCCAATATCAGTACAGCTCTCAGCAAGAGCAATGAGATAACAGCAACGGAAAACATGTTTTATTTAAATTGATTGAGGGATAAATATTGATCAAACACTGGGAAAGATTAATCTGTTCTGCCATGGGACTTTTGTGTCCATTTGAGAGGTGGGACAGGGCCTTAGTCTCTTCCAATGATTTAGCCGAATGTAATCCTGTACATTTCTGAATCTTGTACTCCTATACTGTCATCCAGTGCTCATAGAAACCTTAGCAGATTCTTCACCTCCATTAACCAGGAGCAATAAAACCAATAGTCACAGTGCCATTAAAACAAAATCAGTGGCCCCTAGATGTGAGAAGGATGCTTGCCACTGAATCCTAGGGTAGTGAGGGAAAGAGACAAATAAATGGAAAGAGGAAGAGGCAGAGGATGTATGAAGTAGAAGTGAATTCATTCAAGTTTAAAGGGCTACAAATGGAAGGTAAAAGAGTGAATCACTATTGATGGGACAAAAAGTAATTCAGTTGCTCTCTCCATGGGCAAATGAGGGATGTCATGCCTTTTTGAGCTTTCTTCTTGCTCACAAATCTTTGGCCTTCATTATTCAGCTTGCTAAAAGTCAGCCATACACCCTGGTGAAGCAGAACTCACCATTGTGGCAGTTCAGTGCACTCCCTCCCAGCTGTTAAGGTCAGAGCAAATCCCCATCAGTTGGACTTTCAAAATGTGTTTAAAATATTTCTGCTGGTCACTCTGTCATCTTTGACCATTCATGTATTGTGAATGGAGAGCCCTCTTCAGTAGGCGAGCAGTTGGTAGTTAAACGTCATGGCCTGTCCAGCCCGGTTGCTGCATTAGAATCATCACCTTTGTGGTCAGGGCATCTCCTTCCTGGGAGATGTGAATGTTCATGCAGCCATCCATCCAGGTAATGAGTAGGATCTCCCAGTAGACAACACTGATCTTAGAAATACATCAGTCAGGTTTCACAGCCTTTGTGTCCATCCATGGATAATGGTGAACGAAGACTGGTCTCAGCACCTTCCCAAAGGAGCAGCTTGGCTACTGGATTGCGTAGAACTGTTCTGAAGAAGGTCACTGGACCTGAAACATTAATTCTCTTTCTCTCTCCACAGAATCTGCTAGACCTGCTCGGTTTCTCGAGCTTTCTGTTATTTCATATTTCCAGCATCTGCAGTCCTTTATTTTTTGTTAATGATCAAACTTGGGCTATTTTTGCTTCAAATTGCACAATGCTAGATCTCCAAACAGTCAAATCAGTCTGCAGTATTTTATTTTGAAAGGCAGGTGCACACCTATTTGGGCTCCTCGCAGTATACAGTACCAAAATTATTCTATTCCAGGACTGCTGGAACAGCCAGTAGTAGATTTGTGAGAGTGAATTTTCTTGTTATATAATTGTTAGAAATGCTGTCTTTTGAATGAGCTGTTAAGCTGAGGGAAAGTTGTATTCTGAGATGGACCTGTAAAATGTCCTCTCAGGTGAACTCATAGGAAATCTCATGGCACTGTTTTGAAAAAGAGGGAATTTGAAGTAGGGAAATTCTGTTAGTATTTTGGCCAATATTTACCCATGGTCAAATATCACTAAAACAGATTATCTGCTTAAATTGACTTTGTTGCCAATATTATTATTTAAAAAGAAAAAGACTGCAGAAAGCTACAGAACAGGAAGACTTGTGGATTGTCATTGGTTAATTACAAAATGTTAGCATCTAAATTCAGCAGGACATAGAAGACAAATACAATGTTGGTCTTTGTTTCAAAGAGAATGGAGTACAAATATAGGGATGGTTTGCTAAAACTGTACAAGGCATTAGTCAACTACAGCTGGAATAATGTGAACAGTTGTGGTTCCTTATCTACAGAATGATATACAGGCATTGGAGAAGGTCTAGAGATGGTTCTCTAGGCCACTACCAGATATGGAGAGATTTTCTTATGAGGCGTGTTTGAATAAATTGGGCCTGATTGTATTGGAATTTAGAAGAATGAAAGGCAATTTTACTGAAACAAGATTCTTAGGGGAATTGACAGAGTAGAGGCAGGAAGGTGTTCCCCTTGTGGGACAGTCTAGAATCAGAGGAAATAATTCAGAATAAGAAATCATCTCTTTAAGGAGGAATTTCTTTTCTCGGGGGTAGTGAAGCTGTGGAACTCTTTAACGCAGAACGCTGTCAAGGCGGGTTCGTTAAGTATATTCAAGGCTAAGATTTTTAATCAGTAAGGAATCAAGGGTTATATGAAAATGGTAGGAAAGTGAAGTTGGGGATTACTAAATCAACCACGATCTCATTTATTGGCAGAGCAGGCTTGGTGGGCTGAATGGCCTACTTCTACTTTGTATGGTCTTCTACTGTAATGACTACACCTTTTGGATTGGCTGGACTTAATGACACTGGAGTTTAAAAGAGAGAGAAGTGACTTGATTGAACTGTATAAGATTCTGAATGGTCTTTATTAAATGGATGTGGAAAGGATGTTTCTGCTGATGAGTCTAGACTTATGGGACACAGTTTTAAAATTAGAGGTCACCCTTTCAGGACAGAGATGAGTAGAAATTGTTTGCCCCAGAGGGTTGTGCAACTTTGGAATTCTCTGTCCCACAAGGCAGTGCAAACAGGGTTACTGAATATTTTTAAGACAGAGATGGATAGATTATTGTTAGCAGGGGAATCAAGGATTATTGGGAGTAGATGGGAACGTGGCATTCAAGACACAAACAGATCAGTCAAGATCTTATTAAATGGCAGAGGAGGCTTGAGGGGCTGAATAATTTGCTTCATGTGTTCGTTTCATATATTTGTATGCATGTTCTTCTTGCATAGTGAAGTTGACACTTCTTTAACAGTGTAAATTGTGAACCTAAACTTCTGTTCCTCTTTTGTGCTTTCCTTCCCCTCCCCTCTCACCTACTCCATCCCTCCTTCAGTTTCCTGCTCCTCAGTCCCTCATCCCTTCCTTTTCTCCCTTCCTCTTTCCATATTTCCCGTTGTCTAATTGGATATCCTGAATATGTTAGCTTATATTTTTGGTGTCTAACAATGTCAGACACTCCCCATGTCCCCTCTGCTGTCCATGTGTCTGTCTTTGGTTTGAAGTCTTCTCACTAGCCTCCTCATTCTGGTTCAGAACTGTTCCAGCCCTTCCTTCCTCACCCTGGCATGACCCTGCAAATCCCAAACCCACGCCCATCCTATTCCCAGACTCGAGAGCTTCTCATTAAGGCAGTACCCCCACATCTCATCTGCTCGTTGGTGTGTGGGGGAAAGGAATGTCGATATGAGGGACCTGGTGAATGGACCCTACAACAGCAAGCAATCCGGGGTGTGTTCTCAGCATGGTAGGTCACACATCCACATGGGTCACAAGTCAAATAGCAAGGTCGCTGGGAGTAACAAGAAAGCCAGATAAAGGAAATCCAGGTGTAGAGCTGGATGAACACAGCAGGCCAAGCAGCATCAGAGGAGCAGGAAG